AAGTCCAGGCCACACCAAGTATGTGTTGATGCTTTCTCTCCACTATCTCATTTTGTTGTGGGGTGCCAACATATGATGTTTGGTGTTGGATTCCTTTTTCTGCATACTAAGATTTAAGCAAAAACTCCACCCCATTATCAAACCTTATTGTTTTAATGGTTTTATTAAATTATGTTTCAATTATTGTGACAAAATTTTTAAACAAATTGGAAGCCTCATATTTTTTCTTTATTAAAAATATTCATGTATATTTAGATTTGTCATTTACTATAGTTAAAAAATATTTATAACCAAAAATTAAAGTAACGGGCAAAGGCCCCCAAATATCTACATATATAATATTAAAAATATTTATTGAATCGCTATCACTGTCATTCAGAGGTAATCTCTTTTGTTTTGGGAAATGTATAACATCGCAGGGAAAAGTTATTTTATTACACTCAATACCAGGATACATGCTTTTCAGAAATTTTAATTTCTCGTAGGATGGATAACCTAACCTCAAATGCCACAAATCAAAATCATATGAGAAAAAATTATTGACATAATATTTTATTGTGTTGGCAGTACCCTTTGGATCCTTTGCATAGAATCCTAATTTCAACTTAGCTACATCAATCATCCTCATCGAGCTGATTTCCTGAATCTGACAATTAGAATCTAAAAAATTACTTTGCAAGATAGTGTTTTGGTTAACTTTGAAATTGATATTAAATTGAACTTAAACTCGAGTATATATAAAACTTTTGTAAGGTGCAATGACTTATCAAGATAAACAGTTCCAAAAGTACAGGTGCTAACCTGGCTTCCATTTGATAATCAAATGACAATAGGTTTGATTTTTCTATGTGATTGAAAGAAACCTAAAGAATAACAGACATGATCACTTGCTCGTGTATTAATGATCTAGGAAACATAATTATATTACTTAGAATTATACCTGTGTTCTAAGGTTAACGATCACTACATGATTTGAAGAATTTGATGATTGGTGAAGAAAAGCTAATAGAGCTTTCTGTTGCTCCAAGGTAACAATCACACCAGAATTCTCTCAAGGTTCCCTCTTGGAAAAAATACTCTGAGTATCATTACACTCATCTTCCTCCTAGCTACAATTGTTGACATAGTTCTATTTCTTTAGGTGTTGGGGGTATCCATGTTTTTTATAACAAGTATCAACTGTGTGGCCAATTTTTTTCACGGTATGAGCACACTCTAGTGCCTTGTCCTTTTCCCTCGTTACCTCTTCTTCCACTATCACCATTCACTCCTTAAGGCTTACCACCTCTTCCTCTTTATCTTCCATAACTACTGGCCAGGTTAGTAACAACCTGAATCTCATCATACTGAGTCATAATTTTCCTTTCTTATTGAACTAGTAGGGAGAATACCTTATTAATTGATGATAATAGAATTTTACAGCAACATATTGGTCATCAAGACTCTTCAAAAAATGAATCACCTGATCTCCCTCTCTATATCTCCTTATCGTAAAAATTAGGTTGCAAGTACATCGATTCTCACAAGAATAATTCAGAATTGGCCTAAAATTTTCAAGCTCTTGCCACAGAGCCTTTAAATTTGTGAAATATGTTGTAATTGACAATGTTCCTTGTTTCCTGTTATAAATCTGTTTTTGCAATTTAGAAATACAAAAAATGTCTCCCTGATAATACCCCTCTTTAATAACACTCCAGACCTTAGAGGTCGTCTCCATCCATATTATGCTTTGAGTAATTGATCGATTAAGAGAATGATGTACCCACAAAAGTACCATGGTATTGCACATATCTCAAGCAAGAGACGTTGGTTCATCACCTTCGGGTCTCGATAATGATCCATCAATAAATTGAAGTTTATTCTTAGACCTCAACGCCATTTGCGTAGTCCTTGACCATGCATGATAGTTATCCCCTGTCAAATGAGCCGAACGAGAGAAGCTCCAGGGTTTTCATTGGGGTGGAGACAATAGGGATTCAAAGGATCTTGAGGAACATTCGCCATCAAAATCAAACAAGGATTAATTTGAAGAAAGAAGAAGAAAATCGGGGAAGAAGAATTTAAAAATGTAAAATTTCAGAGTGCAACAACACTAGCAGAGCTCCAAGGAAATGAGTTCTAATACCATGTAAAAATTCATGACATACATGCACCTTGAGACCTCGTACACAAATTACAGAGAACTTTGAGAAAATAAAAAAAAAAATCAAATTAATTGCAAGAAAAGCCATAGAATACTCATTATGATACAATTATTTATACAAGCTAAAAAAAGAGAAAGCTAACAAACTATAGCAGACTTGTCTAACAAAATCAACTAACTAACAGCTTAATAGAATACATCAATAACTTATTACATAGAGAAAAGAAAAATAACTGTAACATAACTTAGTAGATACATCTCCTAACACTACCGTCCTGCATCACCAACACATTAAAAAGTCATCTCCTCATAATATAAGCCATGTTTACTACTCAGATATTGACTTTTATCGGTATATACATATCATTCTTAATTTTCCCCTTTTATAAATTTTAAATTAATTGTATATTCTTATAATTTGATTTTTCTATTTTCATTCATCTTTATATTTTATTAAATTATTCATATATTTCTTGATAACTTCTATTATTTTTATATGTATGTTTCACTAAATTTAAAATACCTAACCCTTACGAAAGTTTATAGTTATTATAGTTATGAGTGAAGATGCTCGTAAGAAGCTGGAACAAGTGGGTGGCTGGAAATTACTCCGCGTTTGGTAGGTTCTTTTCCTTATGCCCGAATGCACAAAGCCAAACGTATCAAATATCAAGTAGGTGTAAAGATGGCATTATGCTCTCTGCACCACAAGAAATATATTTGAATATGGATGTTAATTATAATCAGATTCCTATAACATCATTTAACAATATTTTATGTATATTAAATTTCATCAATTTATTAATTAAATTAAAAAATTTTAATATTAGATTAATTTTATAATCTTTTAAATAATTAAAATAACATTTTATTAATTAATTTTTATAACATATAATATATTTTTTTTAAATATAAATGAATGTAAATTCTAAAATTGCCAAATTTTCTTTGAAAATCATATTAATACATATTTATTTAAGTTAAAATTTAATATAAATATATTAGTACGGTATATAATATCGCATAAATTAATAATTGAATTTATTTTTTCATATTTTATAAAAATATATTAGATGAAATAAGTGTTTACGACTCTTGATTATATCCTATGCATGTTATTCTGACACGAAACTGTGTCTGGACTCTTGATGATTTATAATACAACTTCTTAATTCTTAAGTCTGTAAATGCTAGCTGGACAAGAGGCTGAAAAGTACTCATACACATAAAAAAAAAAAAGGGTTTATTTAAAGAAACATGATTTTCGGTTTAGTTTAAGAAGTGCTAATTGATTCCATGAACTGATTGATTTTGGAATTGAAATTCTACTCAATCTGATTTGTCTGCATTTTAAACTTAGTCCAAAAACAACAAATATAAGTGATCATCAGGGAAGGGGGAATTACTTCAATATATATAATAAGTTATCATAATAAAAAAAAACCAATATAAAATATTTGGTATGAGAAAATTATGGTCGAATTTAAATTCAATCGTTTGTGTAGGTCAGTAGGGGTGTGCAAATTGCAATTGCTGTACCGAAAAGTTACGCAAGAGTAGTACAATTTTGTCAATGTTCACAATTTTAATTGGTTAGCAATTGATTTTTTTATAGATTAATTTTAGGTAGAAAAAAATATAAACAACAGACTCTTAATATTTATTGATTCTTTTCACAACCTCATCTAATCATTAATTTGAGGTGTGTGCAAGTATAATTTTAAAAATAAATATTTGATACAAATTATGTTAAAATTGAAAATAATTTAGTAATATATATATATATATATATATTACTAAATTAAGTAAGTATTTTAAATAAAAAAAATGTGTAGCCCTAAGTAGATAGGAATAATCAAATTCAGCCTCAATAAATATCTATAAAATTCATTCACAACTAATAGAAATTTTATCCATTAAATATGTCTGAATTTGAATGCAGGTAGTTGTAAATTTTGTACGTATAAATATAAATATTAAATGCCAAAATTGTCTCAACTTCTTGTACCAATATAGATATTCACTCCATATAATTAGTATGAGCATTAAAATTATTACTCAAATATAAATTTAATTACGAGGTTTTTTTTCTTTCTAAATGACTGTTATAAACATGGGAACGAGGATACTCTAATATCCTTCTCAAAGGAAAAGAAGAAAAAGAGAACTCTAATACCTTGCCGAAATTTTTTTTCTATTGCGATTCCTAAATACACGAGACTTGAGTTTTAATCCTGTTTTCAATTCCAATTCAATCAGTAATGTATACCGAAATCAGTTTGGAATTGAAACTGACAATTCATTTTATATTCTACCGTTTGAGAAAGGACTCATTAAAAAAAAAATCTTTTAAGTAGTAACAATATTTTAGAGTTAAAATTTTAGGATATACGAATAATATCTTAATTAAAGATCTTAAAAAAACTAACATAATTTATATTTATTTTATCCTAGTGAAATTAGTGAGAATTGAAATATGTATAACTTGCAAGATATAAAATTCTATCATACTTCATTCAACTAAAATAAATAACACTGTTTTCTCTTTCAATTAATTTTATGGAGATATTATCATTAAAATAAAATGATAAACAAAATAATGAACACCCTTTAGAATGAATAAACACGACAGGAAAGAAAAAAAAAATGAAAAAATAAGAGAGAAAATAAAATGTTAAAATAAAATCACGATGGAAAGGGAAAATTCATAATGGCAAAGGTGATTTGATTTCAAGACATTGCCACATCCATTTATTGAGACCCCACTAGGAAACTACCATGCAATTTCCTTCTCACCAGCAGGGTTACGTAATCTTTATTGATATCGGGCTCTGCTCCCCCAAGCACTTTCATAGCAACTCCCTCAAAAGCTATAGACCTTCCTTATATTCATATATATGTATCTCAATCCTTTCCTTCACTCTTATACTTCATATTAAAAGCTACTTCAAGAGTTACATCGTTCAGTATTATTATTACTACAATTTTGTGCTAAGAGAGAGAAATTAATTTCTCATTTCAAATTCGATCTAATGGCTACGGGGAAAATTCTCAAACCGTCAAAGTGGTTTTCAAACAGAAGTCTCAAGCTTAGTCTTCATCGTGGAAGATCAAGATTCTCCAATTCTTCACCGAGTTCTCCAAGAACTCCCACGTCAGCATGTGCAACTCCCAAGAATAATAGCAATGGAGAAAATGGGCTAATAGAAGTTTTCCGTCACTTTGATGGTGATGGAGATGGCAAAATTTCGGCCTATGAGCTAAGGTCATATTTTGGGTCCATTGGGGAGCACATGTCACATGAGGAAGCTGAAGGGGTGATTCATGACCTCGATTCCGATGGGGACAACATGTTGGATTTCAAGGATTTCACAAAGATGATGAAGAAGCAAGGAAGGGATGGTGATGATGATGATCTAAGAAAGGCTTTTGAGATGTTTGTGTGGGAAAAAGAAGGGTGTGGCTGTATTACCCCAAAAGGGTTGCAAATGATGTTGCACCGCCTTGGAGATGACAAATCCTACGATGAATGTGTGGCCATGATTGATGCCTTTGATATTGATCACAACGGGGTCCTTGATTTCAATGAGTTCCACCAAATGATGGCCTAATCCACGATGATGATTCATGTATGTTTTCGATGTATATGGTTTCATATTCAATCCAAACTAGATTTAGCAATTGCAAAATTGCGGGGTTTAATCAATGCTTCGACACTACAACTTCTATGTATATATATATGTGGATGCAATGAAGTGGAGAAGTACTCACTATATTCTCAAATAAAGCACGGTTATTTATTCGGCACTCCCTTAATATTATGGTTTATATTTTCGTGTATATATATATATATATATTTTACAAGGTATTTTTTAAGTCCTATCTCCCATGGATTTGCTAACACGAATTATAAGATCATCTTACTGATGAATCAATTGATCGTTAATGAAGTGGAAATCGATGTGATCAATATAGAAAAATCTATGGTCATCGAAAAATTACTTTTTGGGCAGATTAAGCCACGGCATTAATTACTTACCCAAAAGATGTAGAAAAATCTATGGTCATCGAAAAAATATCCTTGCATAAGCTTGAGAATTGTACTTCTAAGAAGCAGACACGAATTGACATATATCTTGCTTCATCGCATCCGTTGTACTTTTAATTACCCTTAAAGTGAAGATAAGGGCTATCAACAGTGAATATTTTTCAAACATATTTTATATGATTAGTTTTTTTATTTAAAAATATTTTCAATAGACCCATTTATAAAATAAGTATTTTGATTTCTTTAAAATAGACTAATCATAAAAATTGTATTTAAAAATGTTATTAATATTAATTTTTAATTATTTCTAAAATTATATAATAAATAATATTTTTATTAAAAAATTATAATATTTAATATTATTAAAATATTAAATTATATAATATTTATATTTTTTAATAAATTTTTATTATATATAAATTTTTATTGTATATTAAAAACCCGATATAGAAAGAATTTGCTGTTGGCATTTCGCTCGAGCCAAAGCAAAGCGATGAGAACATGTAGGAAAAAGTAAAGAAAAGAACATGCCCTGTCGGCTTTAATTCGTTAGCTTTTAGTTGTTCAAAAAGTTAAGAGAGATTGTTTGGGATAAAGAAAATTTTTCAAGTTAAAGATCATTTTGTAGGAAATTTCATTTTCGACAAAATTTTGAGAGTCAAAAAGGAGTCAAAAAGAAGCCTGGAAGATTATCTAGGACTTAGTTTTAAGGGACACATTTCAAGCTATTTTTAGCGATTTTTGCAACATTATTGATTTTTCTCAAAAAACTGCTTGAAAGACGAAAATATTCTAAGTCCAAAAAACTGAAGGCTTTTTCAAGGAGTTTTAAGGAGTTTTCAAATCACTGACACTCAAAACTACTCGAAAAATAGAACTGGCAAGAAAAAATAAAAAACTGATGGCTTTTCGAGAAGTTTTGAAGAGTTTTCAAGTCCCTAACACTCAAAACTGCTCGAAAAACAGAACTAACAGGAAAATATTCTAAGTCCACAAAAAAATGATGGCTTTTCGAGGAGTTTTGAGGAGTTTCCAAGCCCCTGACACCCAAAACTGCTCGAAAAAAACAGGAAGTGATCAGAAAATATTCTAAGTTCACAAACCTGACTGAGCGCCAGATTTCCTCCAGAATTGCTCGAAAAATAGAAATGGACAAAGAAAAGATTCTAAGTCCACAAGACCAAGACAAAGTTCTCAAAACTCCAGAATGGCTCGAAAAGAGAAGTCAAGAAGAAATTATGCCAAGGCCGTAACATTAAAGGAGTCTCTCAAGTTTCTTCCAGAAATACTCGAAAGATAGAAAAACAAGAGTCTTGATAGGTTAAGTCATTAAAAAATTCAGAAGCGGTTACCAGCAGTTATCAACATTTACCACTACACAAAGGAGATCGTGGGCGATAGCGGTTACGAAAGAAACCTCAACCAACAACATGATCACAAGCAATCGTGGATAGTGGGCATCAACAGTTGAAGGCAGTTACTAAGAAGTGCCCGCAAAAGGAGGAGAACGATGGTAGTCTTCATGTCTATAAATACTCCAAAGCACCATTTTACAAAGGACGACTTTTTGCACCCAGACACCGCCCCTAAACACTTTGAGACGCTGAAACCCTGCACCGCGCCAGACACCAGTTACAAGAATACCTACGGTGGCCGCTGTTCGCCGTTGTGAGGAGTCGTACGTTTACATTTCAGCATATTTACATTCCAGCACCTTTATATTCCCGCATTTACCTTTCTGCATTTTAATTTCAGTGCTTGTTGCTTGTATCTTTGTACACTGTTAGCTTCTTGTTTGTTACATTTTTGTAAAAGCATCTATGTTTGATTCAATTCTGCACATTTATTATCCATTATTCTTGCTTAATACTCTTTTACGCCGTTAATCTGAGTATCACGTTAACAACACACTTAAAAGAACCCAAAGAGGACCTAAATCCAGTCCCCAGATTGATCTTTGAATTATTTGTTTACAACTGTCATTTTTCACCGTCAACAGAGATATAAAAAATTTTCAATTAATTTTGATGAAGTAATCTTGTAGCTGGATTCATATTGTTTCCCATAAATTTAGAAAAGAAAGGTAAAAATGTTTCTTTAAAAAATTTGCAAGTATTGTGTAGTTGAATGAGATCATACGATTAAAAATGTGAGATAAAAAAAATGTGAAACAAGTTAAATTTATCAAAGGACGCATAAATAATTTGATATATATCTTTCTTTTTTTATTTTTTTTCTTTTTCTTTCATTTTTATTTACATGACATAAATTTGCTTAACATTGTCATTTTTCATTTTGTTTTATATTTATAAATTATAATTTATCACATCAAAAATTTGTAAATGGCAAACTTTTTTACATAGAAAAATATTTAAAAAATTAAAAAATATTGAAATTTTAGAAATAGAATTTGTCCAAATGCCCTACGATTGTTTGAGTTTGATAGATCTTAAAAGGTTAAATGAAATAGACATATAATTTGAATAAATTTTAATTCTGTAATGGATAGGGACCAACTCGGTCCTACTTGTAGTAAAAGGAAACTGAGTACCTATCTGGCCTAATAACCGAGTAACTATTCGGCCTAATTTGGCTGAATACTCTTCGTCAGGATTAAGAGGTAATTAAACCTAATTTAGGGTAATAATCAAGATATTATTTGTTTTAACTAAAAGGCCAAAGATCAAGACTGGCTTAGCAGGCTCATTAGCCCATTACAGTGCCTATATAAGGAAGGTAAAAGTATAAGTAAAGGGTGAACTTTTCATTATTAAATACTATTTATTACTTAGACCCGAATCCTGACTTCAGCATCAGAGTGCCTTTTGCAAGTATCCTCCCCACGTCAGCGACTACCAGAGATACGTCATCGTTTCGGAGCAAGGACCTGAAGACTAGTGTTTCTTTAACAAGAACATTTTGGCGCCCACCGTGGGGCACGATTAGCCTCATATTTCAAATTAATCATGGTACTTACTAGAAGCCAGCAGGAAGGACATGCTCAACAAGGGGGAACCTCTCGGCAACATTTGGAGGGTGTCACACCAGATGAACCAATACCTGAAGTTGTGATGCAAGGAGGAACAGATAAAAGTATCTTAGCTGTACTGAGGCAGCTCAAAGCAGAAATGACGGAGATGAAGAAAGAATGAGAGAAGGATGCACTGGAGCTCTCGGCTCTGAGAAGGGAAAATGCTAACTTGAGAGAAGAGATAAGAACACACATCCCTTCCCAAACTACACCCATCATCCAGGATCAGGGGGAATCTTTAGCGTTGCAAGAGAAATCAAAGCAGGTTTATCAATCTGAAGCCAAAAATGACCGAGACGATCTTGTGAGCCGAAGCCCATTCGTTCACCACATCCTGGAGGCCAAGCTGCCTGATAATTGGAGAGGCCTAACAATAGATAAGTATGATGGCACATCTGATCCTGGAGAACATCTGGATGTCTTTACAACCCAAGTCGGTTTGTACACCGAGAATGATTCCTTATGGTGTAGGATTTTTCCCATCTCACTCTGAGAGCCTGCACTCAGTTGGTTCACCCGACTCCCCCCTTCATCCATCGACTCTTTTGTAACACTTGCAAGACGGTTCAACTTACAATTCGCCACAAGTTGACCTCATCCCTTAACATCCTTGGCGCTGGTCAATATTCGCCAAGAAAAGGGAAAGTCACTTAGAGCATTCATGGAACGTTTTGGCAAAGTGACCCTGTCGATTCATAATTTGGAACCAGCAGAGGCTATGCACCACCTCACAACGGCCCTAAAGCCAGGACCTTTTGTCAATAGCATCTGCAAAAAAACCACCTGTCGACCTAGACGAGTTAAGAAGTCGGGCTGCAAAGTATATGCCGATGGAAGAGTTGTCTGAATACCAAAACTAGGTGCGGATGAACCAAGGATCCAATTCAAAAAATACAGACAGGAGAGAAACTTTCAAGGCTAGGCAGGAAAATAAGGAGAGAAGAAATGAGCTTGAAAGGCCGACTAAGGGACCTAAATATCCTTCCTACACTGCGCTCAATACCAATCGGTCCAGAGTACTTGACCAGGCATTAGCCACAGAAATATTGAGAATGCCTAGACGTGCCAACGCTCCTCCTCGGGCAGACAAAAGCAAGGTTTGCCGCTATCATCAAAACAGGGGTCATACCAACAAAGAGTGCATAGCGCTGAAAGATAAGATTGAAGAATTAATCAAGGAAGGACATCTAAAAGATTTTGTGCAGACAAGCCCTGTCGGTCAATCTAACAGAGGAAGGGACCGTAACCCTGAGCCATCAAGGAGATATGACAATAGACATGAACGACAGAGGAGTAGGTCCCGGGAACCTCCAACTAGACGATATGATGAACGTGAAAAGTATCCTAAAAGGGTCATTAATACCATAGCTAGAGGGTTTGCCGGGGGAGGACATACCCATTCGGCCAGAAAGAGACACTTGAGACAAGTCAGATCAGTCAATAATATCTCACTTGGAAGTGGGATTTGGATCCCCCCTATTACATTTACTGATGAAGACTTTCAAGGAGTGGACCCTGTACAAGACGACCCCATGGTGATCAGTGTGAACATTCTCAACTGCACAGTCCGAAAAACACTCGTTGATCAGGAAAGTTCTGCTGACATATTCTACTGGAATACTTTCAAACAACTGCGAATACCAGAAGAGGAACTTAAAGAATACCGAGAACCCTTAGTCGATTTTTCAGGAGAGCGGGTAGAGACTCGTGGGTGTATCGACCTTTACACCTCATTTGGATCAGAGCACAAAGGAAAGCGCATCAAGGTCACGTATCTGGTAGTTCATGCAAATACCTCGTATAATATCCTACTCGGCAGACCATCCTTAAACAAGTTAAAGGCCATAATATCTACTCCGCACTTGGCTATAAAGTTCCCATCTGAAAGAGGTCGAATCATTACAGTCCACGCTGATCAGAAGACAGCTAGAGAATGCTACTTTGCAACCCTACGTCTTAAACCTTTCCATGGGGGTAACCGAGATGTCAATATTGTATCCCCTCGGTTCGGAGAGGAATTGGATGTTGAACTTGATCCTAGAATGGATGAGGGGTATCAGGTTGAGCCTAGTGAAAACAAGCAACCTTTCCAACTTGGATCA